ATGCGAAACTAGAAAATTGTCTACTCAGTTGACTTATAAGTCGACTTGTCAGTCGACTTATGAGTCAGCTGATGAGTCGAGCAATGAGTCGACTAACAGGAAATTTTTAGCTTTCTTCTTTTGTCTGTTAGGTCGACCGATGATCCCAGTCGACTCATGAGTCGACTGACGAGGAAATTTCTTGTTTTCCTCGATTTGGATCTGTTTGGGTTGTTTTGTTTTAACCAAAACTGTTTGGGCATGTTTACTATTTTTGCATACTTCTATGTGAATGAGAAGTCACCTCGAATATCTAATATTAGAAATTTATGTTTATTTTGAATCTCTACATGTGAGATGACTTACGGACACGAGTCTAGGTTAGCACACCGAAGCACGTGTGAAAGTAGTGTATATGCATCTTATCATATATTTCATTTAGTCCATGTGTTGGACAATTATTGTGTGTCGTCCATGTGTTGGACATTTATCACGTTCAGTCTATGTGTTGGACATTCATTTATCAGTTCATGTGTTGGACAATTTACATATGCAGTCCATGTGTTGGACATCCACTACATCTAGTTTTAGTCGATGTGTTGGACACCAGTTTAGATCTTGAGTATGACACTTACACTTGCATAGGTTGGACATGACACTTATGTGAGTTGTGACATGACATAGTATTTTAAGTTCTGAGACGGGTTTGTCTTCTTTTATTTATTATCCCTGTATTAGATTTCGGGTTTGGTGTTTAGGGATTTACAATTTGAGATACAAGGTATATACATGAGAGATTCCTTGTTTGGATTATTTTGCTCGAAGTACATATGCTCGTGTTGTAATGTCCTAAATACTAAAATCCTCTTATTGTTAGGGATTTACAATTTGAGCTATAAGGTATATACATGATGGTTTCCTTGTTTGGATTATTTCGCTCGACGTACCTATGCTCGTGTTGTAATCTCCTAAATAGGATCAGTGATTTTATGTATATATACGTATTAACTGTATTTTCTGTATACAACGAGCCCTATCCCTTAGGGTTGGTTGTGATGTTGCTCGCTAGCGCTTTGATGCTCGTTGTCCCTCCCTTTCAGGTAACGAGCCAAGTGCCCGACGAGTCACAGGTTGATGATGATGCACTTTAGTGATTCAGCTGTCTATTTTAGTTATATTTTTCTTTTGAGCTCCACTGTAGATTTTTGTTTATATATTTGAGGGTTTTATTTTAGAAGTTGTAAAGGTTGTGTGTCTTATTTCCTCTTATTCAGACATTTTGTATTTGAGACTTGTTGAGAAACTCTAGTTTATTTATTTCAGACATTAACTTGTATTTCAGTATGTTAGATGATGAAATATAAATTTTGATCTCTGTTATTTCATCAGTTGACTCTTGTATTATCTTCTACTTGCTTTTGTACCTACACCTGTTATTGACTCTACTAGAGAGATAGCAATTGTGATGGTAAAACATGTTATTGCATGGTGTGGTGCATGGCAGATTTGATATTCTTGGTTTCACCTTGGACTGCAGCCTTGTGTGACCCTAGGGACGTCACACTTTATCAGTCGACCGAATAATGTTATCAGTCGACCGATTATTTGAATCTGTCGACCGATTGTTTCATGAATGTAGCCAACAGTCATCTTATCAGTCGACCGATTCACTTATTAGTCGACCGATTTGACTGTAACGGCTAGTTTTCTGTTTGCTTCATATGAGAGATTATAAATACCACTCAACTCATTTTTGTTTTTAACTAGTTTTTACAAGAGTTCCAAGAGTCTTTACACCAATTTATTTCCAAGTTTTAGTGTGTTTGTTTTGTGAAGAAAGTTTCACAAAGAGGAGGATTCCATTTTCATCCTTGAGGAGTTTTACCTCAAATCTTCATCCCTATTTGTTTAGAGAAGTTTTTCTAAACTCATTATCTACTTTATCTTTATTTTGATTCTCATTTATATGTGCTAGATTTAAATGAGTTTAAATTTTATTTTATTCATTGATTACACACACAGCCACTTGAGCTTTAGTATTTCACATATCGTATATTTGGGTTGTGGGGTTGTATCATTGAGTGAGCTTAATCTTTGTTCTCATCTTTGTTAAAGAACAAATCCTTTGTTTGCACTTAGCGTTGTGAAACACATTGTAATACACAAGGATACTTAAAGGAATGGTTGGGAGTGACCGGGGTTAATTCCAAGAGGAGTGTTTTGGCTGTAAAAGCCTAGGAAGAGGTAGTAATTCTAAGCACTTGAGGAATATGATAGGCCAACACTTAGAGGAGTGTATTGTGTGATTGACAACGTGTGATTGTAAAAGTTTTCGGTGAGCTTTGAAACTTCGATTGTGTAGTAAATTTGTGATTATTGGAGAATCTCCTCGAGGTGAGGAGCGAAGACGTAGGTTGAGGGTTGACCGAACTTCATGATCATATTGTTTGTTTGTGTTTGTTATTGGTGCATCTTGTGTATATTTTCATATCGCCTTTTGTCATATAGTTTATATCGCCTATTGTTTATTATATATCCTTACATATATCACTTAGGATATTGTTAATAAGTTTTAATTTGGCATCATAATCAGGTTAGATTAGCAATTACCTTATTCATCCTCCCTCCTAGAGTACTTTCATTTGGTATCAAAGCTTTGTATCAGAGTTAGGGGAAAAAGTTAGGATGCCCACTAAAAGCCACAATGGCGAGTGCCCTTCACTCGCGCTGTGGCTAGGACAGATGTCCACATGTCCCATTATTTTCCTAGGACATGTGTCCTAGCCACAGCACAAGTGGAGCCACTCGCCATTGTGGCTTTTAGTGGGCATCCCAACTTTTCCCCCCAACTTATAAGGAGTTTTTCATAATTAGATGAAAAGACCAAAATACCCATGATTTCTCCTTATTAGTCTACAACTGATCTCAAAGATATGCAATTAATTAAATAATTAAAATATTAATTACTATTTTGTTACTTTATGAAATAATAATATTATAAAAATAATTAATTAATTAATTAATAGTTTTATTAAATAATTGTTTAGTTAATAAAAATGAAGAAATCACTAATTGATTAGTGTTAATAATAATTAAATATTGAACTAATTAATTTATGAAAATCATTTGATAGTCACAATATTAGTAATTAATAGCCATAAATAATGTACTAAAAAATATTTTAATTAAATATTTTCTCATTATAAATTCATTTTATTCCTAATTAATTTGCTAATTAATATATAAAATAATTATTAATTCCGTATAATAGATTAATGAAATAAAAAATTTAGATAATTAATTAATTAATTAATACTTTTATTAAATAGTTATATAATTCATAAGAAATTTATTATTTCAACATTTTCAATATTAATTACATTAACTAATTTATGAAATAATAAATTTGAATAAATAATTAATTTTATGAATTAATATTTAATTTTCTTAAGAATTAATTAGTTAATTTACAAATTAATTTTCTAAAGTACTATTAAATTAGTTAGTTATATTTTTATTGTTAGCAAGAAATAATTTTCTTATTAATTTATTAGATAATTATTAGTAAAATTTATTAATAATTGGCTGGTAGTTGTTATTTACATTTTTCATTTTTAATAATAGAGGGCTACTATTATTAATTATTTAATTTAATTAATAAATAAGTTGATTATAATTAGTACTTAAATACTATGAAATTAACTAATTAATATCAATATAAGCAATTAGTAACAAAGACAATTGTAATACATTAAAATATTTTATTAAAATATTTTAATAAGATATTTCTCATTATAAAGTAATGAATTTTTAATTAACTAGATAATAATTTCAGCAATAATATTTTTCATATAAATTAATTAATTAGTTCAAAAATTAATAAATTAATAATCATAATTAATGTGAAACAATTAATTTTTATTATTTATTAGTTAATTAATTAATAAATTTACTAATAGCCATTATCTATCCGATAAATAAATAATTAGTTAGTTATAATATGAGATTTAACAAGATGTCATTTTTTTGTTATTTGACTTATAAGGTATTGACTTACCAAACACATAACTAAACATATGTCCTTATAAATTAAGAGTTTTAACAAATATTTTTCTTTTTTCCTCCCTCTTTATATTAAGTTTTGAAAATAAATAATAAGTAATTTATAAAGTTTCAAAAAATAAGTTATAGCCAAACATGCTCTCAGACTTTCCCAATAAGAAGAGCACGGTAGCAATACTCGGGGGCACGCGTCCAATAATTTAACCTAACTCAAAATCTAACCCTAATTAGATTTTGAACCCAACACCTCGCTTTCATTTTTCAGCAAGTGTCGTGTCGCTGGGCGATCGCTTTCTCAACTAATAAGAGAGGACGGGGGCGGTCCATTATCAAATGACCCTCCACAAATTTTACTGGTTGGGGAATAGATCGACGAGAGATTTGTTTGACACTTGGCAGATATTTAATTATGGCAAGCTTTGATGGTGGGCCAGGATGGGAAGGAATCTCGGAGGGTTGTGCTTTAATTTACTACTCCTAAATAAAATACTATATATTTCCTTGTTTTTTCCATCAAAAGGTCATAAAATCGGTGTACGGAATCTATCTCCACTTATACATCTGATAGCTGACAATCCCATTCTCCCTCGGCTCAAACAAGCAGCCACCCTTTAATTAATCCCATCATCTACATCTTGAAACATTTCTTTGACGATCAATCGTCCACATCCAGACTCCGTACCGCTCCAATCCGACCGTCAGCATGCTGAAACTCACCATACACACCCGGCCAGCAAGAGGAAACTCTGCTAGCGGTCCCCCGCCGGCGCCGCTATCCAGAAGTAAGACAGCAACACCGACGACAAGGATCATTGTGGCCAATTTCGCGGAGATGGCGATCTCCCATAAGAGATTATATTTGCAAGTAGGCTCAAATCTACTTCTACAAGGCCTAATCACATCCCAGAACCAATATTGAATAATAAAACAAAAATAGGTAGGGTAGGCGATCAAAGTACCTTTCTTCGGCTGAGGGGCAGCTGACCGAACGGACAGATACGTAGACCACGCTCTCGAAGACTGTTGGGTGTTTCAGAATTGGATGCAAAGAGAGTACGAGGCAGGAAGGTTAGCCCTAGGTGAGGATGCGCTTCTCAATCCTCCGATTCAAAGCAAGATGGTTGGCCCATTGCATGACCTAAGGTTCAAGAAAAGTCAAGTCGAGTTCTGTGGGATGATTGACGTGACTCCCCAGGATGCCAGCTTTCCCGCGGAATGGATTGGACTACTCCTCTCACCACTTGCGGAAGGAAGCAAACCCTTTTTTTATGTACGACGTTCGTCCACCCTAAGCAAGACTTTCTAACAGGCGACGACCATCATCACGTGGATGAGAGGATTCCTCCTCGAGTAGTTGATGGCTGGTTTGGTTTTGAGGGGTTTGGGGTGGGTTGGTGGGGGCGGGGCGGAGCCTTAAGAGTAAAATAATTACAAGAGTGCCAGTGCAACTCTCAGCTGATCACATTTTCAACAGAAAAATAGTTATGGCAGAAGATCGATGTAGTTGGCAAATGAAAGCGAGCGCGGCTTTGGGGCACGTGAGATTCCTGATTCCCCAATGCCGGGACTCAAGCTCGCTTCGGACCCTTTCACGGATTCGGTGGTTGGAAATATCTCGACGAAACTAATTAATCAAACACTGCTAGCTCGTAAACACCATCATCATGCATATAATAATGTACTCAAGGGATAAGTAAAGAGCAGATGGTTTTAGAATTCAACAGAAATAAATATTGGGAGTTAGAGATGGTATAGGCACCGTTGATTCCTAGGAGCCTGTACGGGTCTTCACTAAAGACGTGGCAGATCCCCAGGTGTTGAAGGCGAAGGCTTGGGTCGGCCTCCAGCAAAATCTTGACGAGAAGCTTCGCGCGGTTTCTGTCTCTGAGTACGGCCGGGAACTGCTGCTCCGTTGCCATATTATGCGATGTATTGTTTGATTCTCGACGTGGTATGTGTAGTTTGAGGAGCTAATTAAGGAACGCTAGCCCTCCCAATTTGAGAACAAGAGATTATAAACCCACCCGATCCAACTCCCTGTTCTAGAATGTCTGCCCCGTTGTCGTTATCAACCGCATATTAATAGTTTTTTTAGTATCGTGTATGTGAGGCTTTGATCTGTGGATAAGAGTTGAATTCTTCCACTCCTCATTGCCTTCGTCTCAAAGAAAAATTTCGCCAAATAATAATAATTATTATAATATGTGAAAAGGACGGGGTTAGGGTGTTTACCGCCTTAAGTTTTGGTGTTTATTAGATAACCCCCTTAACGTTTTAAATGTCACAAAGCTCCCTTGAGTTAAGTTTTGGAGTTCTCAAAAAATCTTCTCCAGCTTTCAACATTCTTCAAGAACCGTCACTAAAAGTGCGGATCGTAATTTTCGCCTCGCCTGCATACCTGTTCATGTGGAAGTTACATTAAACACCACTAGGCTTTTTTTATCTTTCTTTTTCTCTTTTTTATGAAATTTATTGAAAGTTCAAGGGGTTTTTCTGCGAATCCCCTAAATTTAAGTAGAGCTTTGTTACATTTTGAGAGTTAAAATGGTTATCTAAGAAATGACCAAATTCAAGGGGTTTTCTGAAGTTTACCCTAAGGGGCTGTTTGGTATATTTCCAAAAAAAAAAGGAAAACAATGTTTGAAAACTATTTTTGGACATTTCAGAGGGTTTCCTCCATTTGATTTATTTCGTTTGTTTCACATTGAAATCATAGGCTGGAAAAGAAGGATTTCTATTTCTTGGGTTTGCTTGCACATCCAAAAATTAAGAAATATCATTTCAGCCGCCGTTTTAATAGTGCTTTGAGCAATTAAATATTACCTATTAATATCAGTCGTTGTTTCAACAGTGTTTTGAGCAATTAAAAATTGCTTGAAGTGACATTTCTCATCCATTTTAGCCCCTTTGGGTCTGGGATGAGTTTTCTACAAAAGCTGACGTGGTATCCTATTTCACCCCCTCATTTCTTTAAAGCACACAGCGAACCAAACGCGGGGAATGGAAATGTCTTGAAATCAAAATCCTACGTGACGCTATTGTCAGATTTCAAATCCTCCATTTCTCTTTTTATTTTTTTTAGAAAACAAACAGGCTCTAAATGTATCTTTGGTTGCCCTCCACACCTCGGCTCGGCGAGCGTACAGGGGTTTGGGGCCTGGAGATCTGACCTGAGAGTTTTGCGTATAACTATACGGGACAATCTTATCTTTATTTCAGACTAACTGCAGATTAACAGAATAGCCCTAAATCCAATTGAAAAATATTGAGCAAAGCGGGCAAATTAAGACAGATGAAATGGACGAAAGAGCCCAACAGATACGTCCGTACATCTTTTTCAAGTGTATCATCCTAATTCTAAGCGTGCGGGTGGCGACGTCCTGAAGTTGGCCACAAAGACGTACGGGACCGCCGATTTAGGGGAGCAGCTAGAAACAAAATAAACGCAGAACCTGCGGAGTCTATCTCGCGTGCATGATCCTAGCTAGCTAGCTTATAATCGGTGAAGCATCCTTGAAGGAAGTAAATCAGTGCTTCGGAAACGACCGATTGGTGGGCTAGCTTTTAGGTGTTATTGGATCGTCCCGTAGTCGGGCTTTCTTTGGATGGTTCAAGGTGATCGGCATTAATTAGTCACGTCCTTGGACTTTCACCCTCAATCTAGCTTAGTTGAATCCTTCTTGGCTCAGTCAAATGTAGGTCAGCCATGTGTTAAAACCTTGGCTTGGGACTGATCCTTGATGGGAGGTGAAGGTAAAGGGGACGAGGAGTTGGGCCGGAGTCGCCGGACGTAAGGCCACTCACATTTCTTATTGTAGAAAATTAACTTCAAATTAAATAGCCTTTGGACCATTAGATTTTGTTAGCTTCGTCTTGGAGGACGATATTAAGTTTGAACGCGATACACTTTCCTTAAGCATGCGTGTTGACCGGTGATAAATGGTGAGCCTATGAAAACGAGAGCTCTCAGAAATAACCAGAAGGTTATAAACAAAGACCATGTCACTATCTGAATTTCCCTTTATCTATTTATTTATTATTATTTTTTTTGGTAATCATCAATTTTTCTATATTAGAAAATCTGCAGCAAGCACTTACCCCACCTCCTAAGGCTGAGATGGCGGTGCAGGGGAGCTTACTGCATATGCTCCAGCAAGCTCCCAAGGCCTCTCCTTGGGCTGGCATGGCATGGAGCCTAGGAGCTTGTGCCACGGTGCTCCCAAGCGCTCCACAAATTTGTGGAGCGATTGGGAGCTCCTAGCTATTAAATTTTTTTTACAAAAAACCCCCTACCTTTGAGCCAAGTTTGGAAATAGCCATTTAAAATTAACTGTTAAGATTTTTCAAAATTGACATGAATAATAAATTAGCCGTTGAGATTTAAAAAATTAGCATGAATAGTAAAATAATTCTATAAATACTTAATTCACTACACAAATCATTCCAAAAAACTCTCTCATATTAAAAAAACTCTATATTTTCCTATCAAATTACAAATCTTATGGATCCCTCCCAAAACTTTTATTTGTAACTCCTTACGGGTGAAGGATTGGCCTTATACCCGCCGTTCTATACAGACATCGTAGAAGAATGTCACCTCATCCATGAGTTCTCGTAATCGGCAACACAACAAGTGTCATTCCAAGAAACACCGACCACAAAGAAGAAGAAGGCTTACACTCGTTCCGAAAACTGAACTGTCCATGAGGATAAGCTTCTTGTGTCTGCTTGGCTGAATACGAGTCAAGACGCTATCCAAGGTACGAGGCAACACAAAGATAAGTTTTGGCACAGAGCTAACGACTACTTTATCTAATACTCCACCGATCCAACGAGCCGCACACCAAACCAAATGATGCATCGTTGGTCAACGATTCAACTGTCCGTCGACAAGTTATGCGAGTACGTTGTTCAGATTGAAGGAAGACAAAGATCTGGTATGAGAATTTATTTGACCAGGTAAAAATTTAACTTATATGTTTTTATGTAAACACCATAGCATTAAAGAGAGGAATAAATATGTTTAATTATGTTCAATTATTCTAAATTTAACTCTTGTGTAGACTGTAGAAGTAAAAGAATTATACCAATCTCTTTATGGTAGGCCATTCGTGTTTGACCATTGTTGGGTTGAGTTGCGTCATCATCAAAAGTGGATCCAACAGATTAAAACTTACAATAAGATTCGATCATAGCCGAGAAGAACCACAAACTCTGATTCATCACCAAACAATTCCTCTCTAGCAACCCCCATTGAGTTGAACACTAACTCGGATGATGTTATAGCAAGGGCTGAAGGGAGGAAAGTAGCAAAGCTCAAGAGGAAACAAAATGTGGAAAACAATAAGTCCGCTAAGTCCATCATGGGAGAGGCTTTCGTGTGGATGAAGCAAACCATCAATCAAAAAATGGGGTATTCACACTCCGATGAGTATATGAGTATAAATTGCATCTCCTTGAACCTCTGACGGGTACATGAGGTTAAACTGATTCTCGAAACTCCTAGGAGTATACGAGTATAAGCTGGTCCTCCTCACTCTAACGCCTTAAGAGCCTAAGCTGTATAGACTCCAGTTGATGTATGAGTATAAACTATATTTACATCGGCTAACGCATAGCCAAAGGTTAAATATGGTTAAAGCATAGCCTTGGGTCAACACCGATCAACGCGTAGCTAACGGTCAACGCCAGTCAACACGTAGCCATAAGTAAACGCTAGTCAAAGCGTAACCTTAGGTCAACGTCGGTCAACGCGTTGCGATGAAAGTCAACTCCTGTCAAAGTGTAGCTAACGGTCAACGTCGGTCAACGTATAGCCGGTAAGTCAACGCTGGTCAACGCGTTGTGATAAAAGTCAACACCTGTTGAAGCATAGTCAATGATCAACGCCGGTCAACGCCTAGCCGTAAGTCAATGCAGGTCAATGCATTGTGATGTAAGTCAACGACTGTTGAAGTGTAGGCAACGATCAACACTAGTCAACATGTAGTCGTAAATCAACGCTAGTCAAAGCGTAGCCTTGGGTCAACATCTGTCAACGCGTTGTAATGAAAGTCAACGTCGGTCAACGCGTAGCCAATGGCCAACGCCGGTCAACGTGTAGCCATAAGTCAACGCCGGCCAACGCGTTGTAAGGAAGGTCAATGTTGGTCAAAACGTTGCGATGAAGGTCAACGATGATCAATGTATTGCAAGGAAGGTTAATGC